GGTGTTTCCCGCGCCCACACAGCCGGGGGATTGCCAGCCCCGCTCCCGGAGGAGTGGTGAGCAGTGTGTGCAGCCTGGTCGCGGGGCCTCGCCGCGGCGGGGAAGGGTCAGAGCCATGAATGCCTCCTTTCATGGCCCCGGTACAGGGCCCCTCTCTTTTCCTACAGAAACCCTTCACTCGCTTTCAGAAGTAACGATCAAATGTGAACTTTCATGGTTTATTTATAGATCTGCCTTAGAGAGAGAGTAAGAAAAGAAGTGATTAAAATGCGATTTTACCAAATATTTTGTTTTTAAAAAGCTTCCATTGTGTGGGCAAAAAGGAAAGAGAAAAGTCGCTGCATTCATTGTGCCGTCTAGACTCTCAAACAAAGAGGGTGGCGTGCTGCAAAGAAGATTGTCCGGCTCCCGCCTGCTGACAAAGAGTATGGGTTTTGAGGCCAACTTCAAATAGACCCTTTTGAACAGAAATCTATGGTGGGGGTGGCTATATTTAGCACGTGTCAGCATTTCCATAATAGATCCGTATTGTTATGCGGTGGCAATTTCCAGATGTATTGCAGCCAGTGGGTTCATGAGGTTTCAGTTTTATGTTAATTATTTGGAGACGTTAGAAAACTCAGCAGCGCTATTTCTGATGATGGCACTGATTCTCCTTATTGTGTCAAGTCCCCACGACGAGCCCGCCTCCCAGGAGAGAGGAGGGTGAGCACCAGTCCTTCTGGCTGCCTGTGAGCATAACTTTTTTTTTTTTTTTTTTTAAGAATGCGGTATGTTTTTATTTTCCTTATACTTATCAAACCAATGTATGCCACTGTAGAAAATGTAGCAAACACACACAAAGACAAGAGAAAGAAATATCACCCGTGCTCTGGACCCTGTCGCCATTTTCATGTATGTGGATCCAGTGCTCACTGTGCACGCATGTGGCACGTGCATTAGAACACGCACAGTTCTTGAGGGAGAATTGAGAGACAGCCGTGTGTTTTACTCCCACTGCCCCTTTACATGTTTGCAACTGTTTTTTCCCTCTACCCTGGTTAAAAATTACGGTACTTGCACTACTTTCTTAGCTACGTACAAAGTCACTTGCATAATACAGGTTTTATGGTCCCTTAAGTTGTGAGGCGCAGCCAGAATTCAGAAATGAGAATATAAAGGAACGTATCATAATCATCACTCCAATTTTCTTTTTTATTTATTTTTTTTCTTTATTGGTTTTAGAGAGAGAGGAAAGGAGAGGGAGAGAGAGACAGAAACATCGATGAGAGAGAACATCAATTGGCCGCCTCCTGCATGCCCCCCACTGGGGATCGGGCCCGCAACCTGGGCATGTGCCCTGACTGGGAATCAAACCAGTGACCTCTTGGGACATGGGTCGATGCTCAACCACTGAGCCACACTGGCCGGATCATCACTCCAATTTGCATCTGAAGATGAGACATCTCCCCAATGCCCCAGCTGGGCTGCTGCAGAGAGGCTGTGATGAGTCTCCTTCCTTCCTCATTCCCTGTATTTCCAGCACATTAGCTGTTCTTTATTCCTCAGAGGTGCTTGGAGGGGACCAGGGAAGAGAGGCTGGGGTATAGGAAAGTTCTTATCTAACCAGAATTGTCATAAGTGGGCTTCTCACTCCCTTAGCTTAGTGGGCGTGTACAGGCTCCACCACAGATTTTGTTGGTGGACCTCCGCTTCTGCAAACCTCTCACTTACATCTGGTGCTTGTGAATGCCCTCTCTTCTGGTCTATGGCTTACTCTCCTCCGATTCCTTAGAAATCCAGGAGGTTCTCTCGGGCTTCTTTCTGCAGACTCTCTGCCTCGTTAGGTGTCCGGATTGGACAGGACCTCGACAGCCCGCGCAGCGCTCACCTGTGAGCCGTGTGGGTCCGTGGGAAGCAGGCACGACTGGCCTGCCCTTCACTTCTGCCCTGACGTGCCAACCGGCGCTTCCTTCCAGACGGGAGTCACACCGGACCTTAGGGACACCCGCGTTCCCTGTGGGTCTCAGTGAAGTCCTGCTCTCTTGACTTGAGAGGGGGACACTCCTCGCACCCCTCCCCTAGAAGGAGGCCTGAGACACCATAAACCAACAGTTCTCTCCTAAAAACCCAGCTCCTTTTCTGACCTTCCCTGGGGATGAAAGGTTTAAGAGTTGATTCATGGGTCCTCAACCACCCCTTTCCCAAATTCTTCAGGGTGGTCTGTCTCCAGCGCACTTTGGTATCTTATCTCTGTCTTCTTTAGATCCCAGACAAATCTTCCACGTTAGCGTCCTGTCACATGTGTGATCCGTGGTTCATTCATCTCCTACATCCCCAGGATGTGCATGCTGTACCAGATGCTGGGTTCGGCAGTGGGAATAATTAGAGCAGTTCCTGTCTTGAGGAGCTCACTGTCTCCTTGGGGAGATGGATGTGGTAATGAAAAACTGCGGTGACATGTCATAAATGCTCTGTGGAGGGAGCGGAAAACTCCATCTCGGAGGCAGGCAGGCAGCGGATGAGTTAGGGAAAAATCTCTGTGGAGTAGATACCTGAGCTAAATTCAATTCTTACATCTGTACTTTTTAGAGAAACAAAATAACCTCTTTAAACACCTTTGAAATCTCTATTGCTGGTATTTTTTTCTTTTTTCATCATTTTTTTTTAAATTTATTTTAGAGAGAGCAGAAGGGAGAGGGAGAGAGAGACCAAAACATCAATGAGAGAGAACATTGATTGGCCGCCTCCCGCATGCCCCCCACTGGGGATCGGGCCCGCAACCTGGGCATGTGTCCTGACTGGGAATCAAACTGGCGACCTCTTGGTGCATGGGTCAACACTCAACCACTGAGTCACACAGCTGGGCTGGCATTTGTTTCTTAATAATTTATTGTTAAAAACAAGCAGAGATGATGTGACGAAAGGAAGAAAGAATTCCAAGTCTGCCTTGGTCCACACTGTTTCAAGGGGAGGAGAGACCTGTGTGAGTCTTCCATACTACAGGTGTCCGGGTCCATGCCGTCCTGAAATGTCGTCCGTCTCGAGCCTGAGCCTGAACTTGACCAGGAGGAATATTCCCTGAGGGCATTTTCAGAGTCGGGAAGGAGGGGGGGGGTCCTCCCTAGATCACAGCAGAGCAGGATCTGGAGGAGGAGGCAAGGGCAGAGTGAGTGGGGAAGTTGACGTGGATTGCTGAGGCCCTCCTAGCAAGACACGGCGATTACTTTAAGGGAGTCAGAACTTAGTCTGTGAAGGAAAACGTTCTGATGCACGTTGGGGTGTGCAGACCTCTGAAAACATCCTGTGACATAGAGTGCCAGAGACCTCACGAAGATGTGTTTGACTGCCCTTCACAAAATGACCCCAGACTGCCCTTTTAAAAGTTTTTATCCTTTCTCCATGATTTTTTTTTATAATACATTTTAAAATCCCCTGGTCTCCCCCACTCAGCACTTTTAAATCCGTTGTGGGCAGGTAACTAGTTCAGAATGTTCTTGCCATCCTTGGGGAAGAGTTGGTAGAGTGGAAATGTAAGTGATTAGCAGATGAAGAAGCTTTCATGTCCTAGCCTTGAATAACTATTACAAAAAAAGTGTATCTGCTTCCAACAAGTATTTATCACACCCAATTTTGATCATGGTAAATGTCTTTTCCGTCCTATGGTGAGCTTCTTGGTGGGACCCATGCACTCATCATCTCTGCATTTCACATCTACACATGAGTACGGGCTGGGCACACGGAAGGAGCTCAATGCGTCTCATGAACATTCTCAATGCTGAGATTAAGAAGCAAACAGAAAAGCCCCTGGCCTCGTGTAGTTTAAATCTGGTTAGGGCAAGGAAGGGAGAAGGCAGATAAGGAACACATGAACCAGTCAATGCACGGCAAGTCAGAAGAGAAGTAATGGTGAATAATATATGAGTGAGTGTGTGTGTGTGTGTGTGTGTGTGTGTGTGTGTGTGTGTGTGTGTGTGTGTGTAAAATTCACAGTAAGGTGGTGAGGATGGGCAGGGCCCTCGGATATGTTTTGAAGATACCCGGGGTCCCTGACATGCTGTGAGGTAGTCAGCTTTTTAACTTCCTCCCTCCCCTGCCTGGCTTGTGAGTTTCTCTAGGACAAAGAGTATGTCTTATGCAAATCTCTGTCCCTAGCACAGGGACTGGTACATAGTGAGTAATTCATAAATACATGAAATAAAAAGCTGTACATATGTGACCCCAGAGTGACTACTTCCTTAACAACAAGATATCTGTAGCTGTTCCTAAGACAGGGCCAATTCTGAGGACCTTTGTCATGCTGTGGCTTACAGTCTCCCTAGTCAAGTCTGCTGGACTCCAAAGTGTGGGTGCACTCCCTCTCCCCGAACATTCCCATGGTTGTAGCTGCATTGAGAGACTGTCCAAGGAGACCTCGCCATTTCAGTTATGTAATGGAGCCAGCACAGCCTGTGGTTGATCTCGATACTGCACACACCAGACCATGTGCACCCAGACGCTGCATCTCGCTGTCTGCCCACTTGCCCCGCTGCGAAGACAAGTGTCCTCAATCCCATTCCAGGATGTTGGGGAAAGGCCCGAGGTGAAATGAAGAGGCTTAAGCCTTTTACCCTCTAGTACAGGTGCAAAGTGGGTTCTGTTCAGTTGTTACCTTGAATGAAGTGGACAGTGTGCTCAGTGGCTCATTGTATTGTCTTTTTTAAGCCCAGGTGTCCAGGCAATGAGAAGGGGAAATAATTCTCTCCCACGATTCCCTGCGACTGATCACAAAAACATCCTGTTCCAGCCCGTTTAGGCCCCGGAGGCCTCAATACGCAGCCATTTATTAAGCCCAGGATGTGTGCCCGTAGATGCAGCTTTTAGTGTTGATTGAGGTTGTATTCTCCTTACCAGAGAAAATAAGTTGAACAAATAAAAGGACTAACTGAATACCGTAAGGGGAAATGAGTTCTGCTCAGAACCTCCTGCCCAGGACAAGCCTCACTTCGGGTTTGGCTTCCCAAGTCTGTTCTGTTTTGCAGGAGGCGATGGCAAGCATGAGCCACGTTGGGAAAGTCGTGCTTCCCAGGCGTGAGGATAAAAGGTGAGTTTACGTTTTTCCGTGCACAATGCTAAGGAAGGAGAGCGCAGAAACACACCCACTCTCAGCTGGAATGCCCTTGGAGGTCCGCCAGTCCTGCCCTTTCACTTCACAGTTGAGGAAACCAAGTCCCAGAGAGGTGGAGTCACCTTCAGTGACCTCTGATCACAGAGTGAGGTAGGGCCAGGCCTGGGGGTCCAATACAGACTTCCAAATGCTCAGACCACTGTCCTGTAGCCTAGACCATTAGCAGCAAGTCTGCTCTTCTCGGTTCTGAAACGTGGATCTCTTATGTCTGCCACCAAGGAGCACAACAGCCCCTGTCCATTCTTTCGCCCTTTGCATCCCTGGGCATTAACGGCTGTATCATGACCTTGATAGCCTTTTAACCCTAAGTCACAAACCACTAATTTATTGAGTTCCTGCTGTATTCAAGGCATTATGCTCATTAGCCATAGATTTAGAGGGGAATATGACACAATCTTACTCATGCACAAAGATCATTTCGGAACAAAGGGATAAGTTCTACCTAGTAGTCCAAGGAATTAAGAAACGGGACCCCGTGGGGGTGAGAGGAGGTTAAGTCTAGCTGACTTTAAATGCTTAAAAAGAATTGTCAGACCAAGACAGGGAAGGACATTCTTGGTGGAGGGAATAACATGCAAAGTGACCAAGGTGAGAGCAGCATGGTATGTCAGGTAGCTGCAAACAGCTCATGGTCCTGAGATGCAGCCCAGGTGGCGAGAATGGCGGGGTGTGAAGGTGGGTGCAGGGGAGCGGACGGGCTCATCCCGTGGGCATTGGAGGCCATGTAAAGGCCTCAGACCTCCTCCTGCAGGCAGAACGGAGATACTGAATTTTCCGCCGTGGTGGGACCTGGTCAGATGTGGAGTTTAGGGAGATTCTTCTTAGAGGATGAATTGGCGGAGCTGAGGGTTTAGAAGCAGAGAGATGAGGTGGAAAGCTTCGTCAGTAAGTCAGGTAAGAGATGAAAAAGTCCTAAGTCACTGGTAGTGAGTTTAAAGATCAGACAGGGCGGCCCTGGCTGGGTGCCTCAGTGGTTGGAGTGCCGTCCCGTACGCCAAAAGGTTTGCAGCTTTGATTCCGGTCAGGCCACATACCTAGGTTGCAGGTTCAATCCCCAGTCAGGGTGCTTACAGGAAAAAGGTGAAGGGACAGTTGTGCAGAGGCCTTTTATAATTTTTGGAAAGTATCTGAGGTTGAGACATAAAAGTAAATTTCACCTCCGGTAATGGACAGGGAAAGGGGCGGATCCTACCAAAGCACAGTTGGTATTTAACCCAGTTGGAAACATCCACGGACAAAGTAATCCAATTTATTTTTATTTTCTTAAAGAAGGTCTCCAAATGGAGTTGGGCTGTTAACCCTCCAAATATAAACCCCTCTGTAAATATGGGGCTGAGAGGACCTAACAAGGGAGCCCACCTCAGGAACAACGAGAGATCGGAGTTCCCAGTACAGGGGAGCCGTAGACCAGCAGCATCCCTCTTTTGTTGAAATTAGAAACAGACCGTTCTCCCCCATGTCTTTGCTGACCCTCTGAAGACTTCTGAGGGAAGTCTGTTCTAAAGTCTGCCGTAATTCCACGTGCCCTTTGCACAGAATCCTTCTCTCCTCCCTGTCAGCTAGAAACTGCCTCTGTGGAGGAGGCACACGCGGTGCTCCAGCGCCATCTGCAGCCGGCCTGAAGGTTTGCACGTAGAGAGGGAGTCAGGTCCCCGAGTGACTCTCTGCTCTGGACTCAAAGCACATCATCTGTATGGAACACACACTCGGGTCTGTGCCCCACACAGGAGCAACTGACCAAGTGTGGGAGAACTGGGAAGAGAGGGGAATTCACTTTATTTTAAAAGTCAGGATCACAGAAGGCATCATCTAATGACTGTGGTTCAATATACTTTAAGAGGATCCCAAATCTCATCCATAATTCCCAGACCAAATGTATGTGTGGCCTTAGAGCAGTCCCTCAAAAGTGTCCTAGAAAAGTTTGTTCATCAAAAGGCATTATCAACAGAATAAAAACGCATCCCACAGAATGAGACAAAATATTGCATATCATATATCTGCTAAGGGATTCTAGGGAACTCCTAAAACTCAACAACAACAAAACAGACAACTCGAATCAAAAATGAACAGAGGACTTGGATAAACATTTTTTCCAAAGAAGATATGCAAATGGCCTATGAATACTCGGAAAGATGCTCAATATCTCTGGTCATTGGAGAAATGCAGAACAGAACAATAATATCACCTCGCATCCATTATGATGGGAGCTATCAATATATATACCAACTGTTAATGAGGAGTTGGGGAATTGGAACCCTGTTGGTAGAAATAAAAATGGCACAGCCACTGTAGAAACTATTATGGAGGTTCCTCAAAAATTAAAAATAAAATCATATGGTCCAGAAATTCCACTTCTGGGTATATACACAAAAGAACTGAGAGCAGAGATTCAGAGAGACATTTGTGCACCCATGTTCACAGCAGCACAATTCACAGTAGCTAAAATAGAGAAGCAACCCAAGTATCCATGAATGGATGAATGGATAAACAAAATATGGAATATAGTACATACAATGTAATATCATTCATTCTTTAAAACGGAAGGATAGTCTGACATATGCTACAATATGGATGAACCGTGAGGACATTATTTTAAATGAAATGAGCCAGTCACAAAAAGACAAATACTATATGATTCCACTTATATGCGATGATTAGAATAGTCGAAAGTATAGACACAGAAAGTAGAATGTGGTTGCTAGGGGTGGGGACAGCGGGAAATGGGGAGTTACTGTCGACGGGTATAGGGGTTCATTTTGGAAGATAAAAGGAGTTCTGTGGACGGATGGTGGTGACGGTTGCACAATAATGTGAATGTTCTGATGCCGCTAAACTGTACATTTAAAAATGGTTAAAATGTCAGATTTCATGTTATGTGTATTTTACCAAAATAAAAAAATTGAAGAATAAAAAGCACAGGAGGAAAAAAGGAACATGGTTTGGACCTCAGCTTTTCGTGTGTTAAAAAGGAAAAACATTTGTCTCTTGGTGTTATCCTAGAACATAGAAAATATGTAAGAACATTCGTTCACATTCCTTAGCGCTTAACAGCTCATGGAGTGTATCATGTTCATTTTCTTGTGTAAAACCGAATGTACCCTCTTCGGGCAGGGAGACTGAGGCCCAGTTATAAAGAGTTGTCCACGGTCACCCAGGTTTCTCTGCCTGCAGAGCTGATGAGTCTCCCACCGCACAAAGAACGAGGCCAACAAAGTTGCTGCGAGGCCGTCAGTATTGAAACTGGAAATCTTCAAGTGAATGAGACGGTTACTGAGCCAAGCTCCCTTCTAGCGGTTTTGAGGTTCCCAGGTTAGGAGTCCATCTCAGAGTGAAAGTGTCGCTGCTTAGCTGAATTAAACAGTCATAGAGTACCATTAACAGGAGAAAACTGCCATCCCTGAAATCATTCTATAATAAAATTGGACACTCACAGAGCGGGTTTTAGTAGAATCCACATATAGCTAGATTAATGATAAAATTGCAGTACTAATTTTTTTTTAAACCTCACCAGAGAGTATTTTTCCATTGATTTTCAGATAGAGTTGGGGCGGGAAGGGGGGGCATGGATGTGACAGAGACACATCGGTTGGTTGACTCTCACACCACCCTGACCAGGGCTGGGGGCCCAACTGCAACCGAGTTACGTGCCCCTGACCAGAATCAAACCTGAGACTCTTTGGTCCACGGGCTGATGCTCTAACTGCTGGGCCAAACCGGCCAGGGCTGGACTATTAATTAATTAATTTATTATTTATTTCTATGATACGTGTCCCTAGTGGAAATCGAACCCAGGACTCTCTGGTCCGCAGGCCGACGCTCAACTGCTGAGCCAAACTGGCCAGGGCGGAGTATTAAGTTTTTAAAAGTAGTTACCATAACTAGCTCTGATACCACTTACTGTGAGCCAGGCTGAATTCTAAGTGCTTTTCATAGATCACTTCATGTAATTCATACTACACCTCTTCAGGTACACCCTATAATTACTCTCATTTACACCTGGGGAAATTTAGGCAACAACAGATTAAGTAACATATCCAAGGTCACACAGCTAGTAATGAACAAGCTGCTATTCAAATCCAGGCTTCAGAGTCCAGCTCTTAAAACTGCTTGGCCCGGCACAGCTCTCCAGTGACCATAATGCCTAAGGCAGAAATGCTTGAGGGGAGGGGACTCCGACTAACCTGTTCGGCATGTTTACAAGTAGAAATTCCAGGGCTCTTCTTACAGTATCTCTCCCCCAAGTCACAGGCTTGCACCACAGCTTCCTCCTGAAGACTTCCGTGCAGAGCACCCAGGCCCACCAGGCCGTGCTACCCTGGCTTCACCAGCCCTCACCCAGTCAGCTCCACCCAACGGGAGGAGGACAGAGTTTGCATCTTCGAGTATACTATCCTAGCGCCCTCCCTTTCAGGATTGGGCTGTTCTGCCGTCTGACTCACGGCCAGCACCACGTTCAGACAGGTCTCCGCCAGGGGCACAGGGAGGGCAGGGTCCACTGCGGCATGCCTGGCAGGCCGGGCACGGTGGCAGGAAAGGCATTAGTCACGTTTTCCCGGGGCTCCCCTCCCAGATAAAGCAGTCTGCAGAGGAAATGTAGGTGCGGAATCCAAAAATGTGATTAAAATGTTCCGTCTCGTCCCTGGTAAGGCTGTGGGTTTAAACCGGTTGTCAAACCTGGGACCCGTCATGTACGAAATCCTGACTGAAGCTGGGAATGTGAACATGTCCCATGTTGATCCCGGGACTTTCTGTACACTGTAGAGGAAGCTTGCCAGGCAGACAGACCTGAGTGTGAATTCCAGCCCTGCCGATTTTTATTTATATGACTTTAGATGTGACTCTCTAAGCAAATGTCTGTACTTCTCAGATGGAGATGACACTCCGTGTGGGTTAGAGAGAATAATATCCATTGCTGGAAGCATTTTTAAAAATGGGGGGCGGGGTCTGCAAACCCATGACCGATATAGTCCCGTTCTACATGGACCGTCTGTCTGAAACCATTCAGCGTATCCATTCGTCTCCCGCAGATACTACGACAAGAAATACCAAGTGTTCCTGAAGCTGGTGGAACACCAGAAGGAGTATGCGGCCATCATGCAAGGGGACTGAACGGAGCTTGCCGGGGCCAGCGCCACGAGGCCGCGGGCATGGCATCAGGGACCTCTGTCACTGCAGCTAGTGTTCAGGACCCTTTAGGTGTCACTTCATACTTCTGTATTCTCTTTTAATAAAGAAAACCACGATGTGCAATCAAACCAGAGGCTTCCATTTCAAAATACCACCGTTGTTTACCTGGAGGTTGGCACAGGCACCATGATGGAGACAGACGTTTCCCAGGGAGTCAGAGGCTCTCCTGTGGGACTGGACCCTGGGGATCATCCAGTCCAGGGGGAACGTGTGTTTGTTCATTGATTCAATGTCAGCCTTTAGATGAAAGACTTAACATTGCTTTAGGTAGAACATCTAATGTGTATTCTATATAGGTAGCGAAAAGCTGTTGTTAACTTTTTGGAAATAATTTAAAATTTTCAGAAAAATTGCAAGTATAGGAATTATACAAGAAATTCCCAAGCACCTAATTTTTAAGTTTTAACATTTACCTCATTTGCTTTATCATTTTTTAAGTTCTCTCCACATACTTATACACATGTACTTATGTGTATAAATGTTTACATATACATATGTGTGCATAGACATATATGTCTATACACACAAATTATTTATGAGTCGTTTGAGAATAAATAACTTTCAGTATATTTCACTCCTTTGTTTGTTTATCCTCACCTGAGGATATTTTCCTATTGATTTTTAAATACAATGGAAGCAGGGGGGAGAGAGAGAGAGAGGGAGAGAGAGACAGAGAGAGAGAGGGAGAGAGAGAGAGAGAGACCTCAATGTGAGAGAGACACAATTGGTTGCTTCCAGCATGGCTCCGACCGGGGCGGGGAATCAAACCTGCAACCCACGTACATGACCTTGACTGGGAATTGAACCCAAGACCCATTGGTCCATAGGCCAACACTCTAACTGCTGAGCCAAACTGGCCAGGGCAAGATTTCACTTTTATATAGCACTTCTATTTAATCTGCCATTCATATTCTGGTTTTGTCAATAGCTCGGTAATGTGCTTTATAGCATTTTCCCTCTCCTTCACAGGATCTAGTCCAGAATCAGATATTGAATTGCAGAACTGTCATCTTGCAATCATCATATTAAACATAGGTGTAGGCAGGAATTGTCCGTGGATCCCGGAGGGAATGCTGATGCGTAACAGGGTGTGTGCATTTTCTTCAAATGTCTCCTCGCAGCTTTTTTATTAGTTACAAGAGGAAAAAGAAGGTTAACTGTACAAGGAAGGCATAGGACAACGTCTCGATTGGGCGATCAAACTTAACTGCCCCTGGGCTGATGGACGTCCCACGCCCAGATGTGGTGCCTGGGAAGGACTCAGCATCATTCTGGCTAGGCACGCACAGCCGAACCGCATCCTGAAGACACGTCAGACGTCCCAACACGGGCAGCATTCTGTGTTTTTAATGGACAATATTCTTCAGCAATGTCTATGTCATAAAGACAAAGAAAGGCTTTGAAAAATTTCCACATTCAAGGAAACTAAAGAAACAGGATGGCTAAAAGCTTTTGATGTGGACAAGTGTTTGAAAAAAAAAAAAATAGTTGCTTTAGCTGATACCATAATATACACATCATACCACTTCGGACCCAGGAGTACATGCTAATGTTGATCCTAGAGCTGTGCAGCTCAGAAGAGTTTGGGTAGAGATACGTGGTACTTCAGGAACACAGGTCAGCAGGTAGAAAAGGAAAAGCCAATACAACTCAGTCAACAAAAATCTTTCGGAATACTGATTCTGTGCCAGGCATGGAGGTGGCACTGGGGTTTGGGGTGACCAAGACAAGGTCCCTGGCTAATGAGAGATGGAGACCAGCGAATCAGTGACAGCTAATGGCGAGAGCAGCCCCGTAAGAGAAGAAACCCGCCGCCATGGCGCACGTCGAGCCGTCAGAAAAGGAGGCAGCGGTGAAGGGACAGGGGGATGGAAAGCAGTATGGCCTCATGGCTGTGAGCCCTGGCTTGGCTTTCTGGACCTGGCTTCTCCTCTTCCTAGCCGTGTTGCTTGGAGAAAGACCCCTAATCTCCCCAAGCCTCAGTTTCCTCATTTTGAAAATGAAGATATTAATAGTACATACTTTACATAGCCATAGTGAGGATTAAATGAGACAATTCCTGTAAAGCACGTAGGTCAATTGTCTGGACCATGCTGATCTTTTTGTAGGGCCTGACATCTGGAAGATGCCCAGAATAACCACAATCAGAATCATCCCTGAGTAGGATGAGCACAGCCAGTTGCAAAGACCAGCTCTACAGCAGCATTCAGCAGTGTGCAGAGGGTAGGAAGGTCGTGGGCTGGCACGGCCCAGGGAGGATGAGTGTGGGTATCCATCCAATCGAGCTGCAAGAAGCCCAGTTCATCACCTCGACCTCAGCCGGAGCTCGGGCTGGGGATAAGCAGGACTGGGGGTAGGATGAGCACCTCAGAAGTCAGGTATAGCAGGATCTAGGCAAGAGGTCAGAACGGTCAGGCAGGCCTCAGCTCTAATGCTGGCCGCAGTGACTCAGAACCTGGGGCGGGCCTGGGCCCGCTCGTGCAAAGCTGTGCCGAATGCAGTGGCTGTGCAGGGCCAAGGACACAGAGGTGCGACCGTGAATCATCGCCGACCGTTTCCCAAGTCCTTCCGACAGCGCTGAGAGGTAGGCAGCCTTCGCTTCGCATCCCAGTTGAGAAAGCGGAGCTTCAGAAAAGATCAACAACTTGCCCAGTATCACTCAGGTGGTGGCAGAGACAGGATTGAAATCCAGATCTGTCTGGGTTCAAAGCCTTGGGCGTCGCCCCCTTGTGTCAGCTGGAGAGGAGTTGCGCCACCAACCACCCTTTCGTTATAGTGCTCACACTGTGGGTGAGCAGCCCTGGGTGCTGGGCATTTTCTCTGGACGATTCATATCCAAACAAAACCCGACTTAGGGTTCCCACATACAGATCAGGCAAGAAACATGGGAACCCGAGGAATCCTCTGGCATCTCAACAATGAGGAGCAGCCTGGAGGAAGGGCTGAAAGACCTCAGGCCAGATGCTAAACCTCTGGCCCTCAGTCTCCGCCCCCCGTGGGGTGATCCTGCTACCTACCCCGGGGCTGGTGGTGAGGAATCGGGAAGGCACTGTGTGCACAGCCCCGCACAGTGCCTTGCCGAGAGCAGGCTCTGCACACACACTATTTCTACAGGGCTCCTTTGAGCCACCTGCCTCGAGGGCTAATCCCTGGGAAAGTGAGTCTGGTGCCAAAGCCAGTGTTTTAGGAAAATGTAAACCTCTCTGTGCATTTCTCTAACCATGTGCAGCTCGATAATAAAAACTTTAATGACTTCACCACTCACCTAGCGGCCCTGGGAAAGGAGGCGTTAGTGCATGAGCACGCGTCAAGTGTAAGTATATTTAGCTTTTATGGGTAAGAATTCCAGTGCGGCCGGAGTGGTCTGTGGGGTTTTTGTTTTGTTTGTTGCCTACTGAAAGCTTTCCTTTCAAGTTGAAGCCAGCCTTGCTCAGCCAATCATTTCGCCAAGGAACACGTTAGGGTTTTTCGTCTGGGTCAGAAATACTTCCCATATGTGAAGAGCACAAACACGACTTTCCAAAGAGCCTAAGAGAACAAAAGGTGGGGGAGAGAATAGGGGAGAAAGACAAGGGTGACCGAATGGAGTGCCATGCTGCACAGCGGCCGTGGACTACAGGACCCAAAGCCAGAGTGTGCTGGGCTCCAAAGGAAACATCTGGAAGGGACCCCCCCCCCCTCATGGGGATACCCAGGCTTGAGTTGGTTCTTTATATGCAGAACAGCCCACGTTGTTGCCAGTTGCACTGAGAAGTGAGGGGTGGAGGAGTACAAGTTCCGAGGGGAGCTGTAAAAGTAGGACATCCCTGGAAATGTCGAGCTTGGGGACGGTACCACGTCAGCAGGTGAGGGCGGCAAGCTGGACCATTGAGATCTTAATGTTGAGGTGGTGCGCTGTCTCTGACTGGCCTGAAGATAGTCATGTTATTCGGGTTTATGTATTTATCCTCTGCACCTAAACAGCTCCTGGCTGGTGCTAGGTGCAGCTCCTGGGTGCTCCATAAATAAATACACAAACACACGACATTTTTCTGCACAAAGACTAGTAGAACTAAAAGTATCTCCAAATATCTGATGTGCATTAATGTACCTTAATTTAAGAAACATATAAAATGTTTAAAATGTGACATGGTCATCAAGGGTTAAAAAGTTGTCTTATACCTAATGACTTGTTTTTAGTTTTTCTACTGCATGCATACGTGCACACACACACACACACAAATGCATAAATGCACACCTCATTTTGGGTTGTAGCTCAAGCTCAGAAACGTTTTGTGAAGTTTCAGTGTTATTACAGACCATTTCCTGTGTGGTCTCTTGTGGGACACCGATGGCTTTTCAGTCCAGAAATACCCATTGTTCACCAGGGCTGCGGTGCATATGCTCTCAGAATTCAAGGGCATAGTTACAAATAATTACCATCAAAGGATTTTCAATGAAGGACATTGTCGCTAAACAAGACACTAATGACTGAGCGGAGCCGTGTAATGTAATTATACTCCAGACAGGCCTTCTGATGAAGTACAGAAGAATCTGCACTTCTCCAGAGACGCACTTAACTGCTCCTGACAGTAATAGTCCAGGGTCGTGAATAGAAACAGCTTTTTTTTTTCTTTTCCGATTTCTAGAGGGAGAGCTTAAACAGAAAAAGTACGTTTTTAAACAGGATGTTTCTCCTAGTACTTCTGAATATTTGACAATTACATAAAATTTGTAAAACAAAAGTAACTTAAATAAAAACAAAGAAGACTGCTAATAAATCCAGGTTTCTCAATTTATCACTGACTCACCCATTAATCTTATGGTTCATTTCCATCTGCACAGAAAATCATTTAAAATTACATACCAGAATGAATGTTTCTAAAGACCTAATTTTTATTTGCTTAAGTCATGCCTGAAGTCTTGATTAGAAATGTTTCCTTATTAAAATCTAGGTGAGCCTGGCTCCTTGCTGTATAATTTTAATACATACAAAATGGAAAATGTTTTATTTATTAATCTCTGGTATTTAGGCCAAGTCAATAATGATGCCTTCCATTTGAATATTCCTTTACAGTTTCCAT